CCGGGCCGGCGGCGCGGAGGAGCTCACGCTGCGGGCGGCCTGTGTTTCGTCTTCCAGTTGCGGGAGTACAAGGTGGTCGGGCGATGCCTGCCCACCCCGAAGTGCACGACCCCCCCCCTCTACCGTATGCGGATCTTCGCTCCGAACCATGTCGTCGCCAAGTCTCGGTTTTGGTACTTCGTTTCTCAGCTGAAGAAGATGAAGAAATCTTCTGGAGAGATTGTGTACTGTGGCCAGGTGCGGGATTAAGAGTCTAAAAAAGCGGAAGACTTGTAAGGAATTTTAGCTGGTATATGTGGAAGGAATTTATAGGAAGCACTGTTCTTTGGCGTCAGGTTGAAATTCATTTATACTTAAGTTGCTGTGAAGCTGAGTAATGAATTTGGTTTTGAAAGTGTCAGTATATGTCTGGTAAACTAAAAAGAAACAGCACTTCAGAGTTGTGAGCTACACCGCTAGTCAGTGCTGCTGTCTGATTCTTATGCTTGCTTCATTGTGTAATGAAGGATTCTGTTTTCTCTGACACCTTTTCAGACTCATCTGGACATTCATAATCCTTGGGAAGTAGACACTTGTAGGCTTACAGTCCTCTGCCTTGATGTTTAAAGGACATTCTTTAGAGCTGAAATCTTGTGTGTGTTTTTGTTTCCACACTGAATTACTAAAACTCTTCACTCTGAATTGCCAAGGCTTGCATGTGGCAATGTTGACGTGGGGAAATAGAGCAAACAGCTGTTTTTTTTCACAATGAAACTTAACACAGTGGTTTAGTTAGACCTTTAGGATATTTGTTCTTAAACTTGTAAAATGCTGATGGATGTTCTGTCCCTAACTACTTTTGTCCTCTTGTGTAATTCCAGGTGTATGAGAAATCCCCTCTGCGGGTAAAAAATTTTGGCATTTGGTTGCGCTATGATTCTCGTAGCGGAACTCACAACATGTACAGGGAGTACAGGGATTTGACCACGGCTGGTGCTGTCACTCAGTGCTGTAAGTACACGTAACTGCTTGAGGTATAAAATGGTAGGACCAGGACATAAGCACAAGCTTAAATCTTAAACTGGGCATAAAACGTGCTGACTTGATCTGTGATGAGGTATTGAAACATTGGAAAAATTAAGTGGGGAGTTCCTGGAGAAGTCCACAGATGTTTATGTATGACGTATGTGGGATCTTGTTTGTTACCACTATTTTTACAGTTTCTCTAGCTGAAAATATCCTTGCTTCATCTTGGTGTGACTTTCTACAACTCTAGTAATGAGTTTTGCTGTACAAACCAAGAGTTTCGTGATCTTTTGGGTGCTGTATACATTTCTTGGACTGTAGTTACCGTTTTAAATAACCGAGTATATCTTCCTAAGTCTTGTGGAGAGAATATTTCAGAGATCACATGGAACTTAGTAGCACCTGTCTTTTGGAGAGCAAGTGAAAAAAATGATCACAGGGAAAAAAAACAACCCTGTGTTGCTCCAAGATCTCGTTGCCTTGGTTCAGGGAGAATTAAATGATGTCCTGATTTCAGTTTGCCACATGAAGTACTTGAGGGATAGACCATTTGTGTAGCTGAGGCTGTTGATATTTGAATCCACAAGTGTTATAAACACTACAGAATGCACATAAAAACCCAAAGAATATTGTTCTTCATAATGATATTCTTGTCATGTGTGCAAATATTAAATGTATCTTGTCGCCTTTCAAAAGCTGACGTGCTGTTGAAAGTGAAATTTAAGGTTCTACATTAACTTACGATATTAGTTAACATACTGATGGACTGCTTAAGAGACCTGAGAACAAACTTTTGTCGTGATACAATGACTTTGATGCCTTTCTGTTCAAGAGTACTTTTGGCAGGTGAATTTTCAAGAGGTGTGTTAGATATTCATGGGAAGCATTGTAAGCACAGTAGTATGTCAACAGGCACATCCTGCGGACATGGTGATTTCAAGGCAGTGATCTGCACTGTGGCAGGGAGGAATTTTCAGGTAGCCCACGTTTAGATGGCTTTCTCCTGTTCTGGAAGCCTAATTATGTGGGCTGACTATCACTTTATGTTTCTATCACTTGTCAATGCTAAGAAAAGTAAAGGTAACCTCAGATCCTGCCTTCATCTGCACCTTCCTTTTGGAAGGGAAGTTTTTGCAAAGTTGGCATGTCTTTCCAGTAATCTTATTTCAGTGTTGATTCTTAATCACAGTTTTCTTGTGCAAAAAAAGTGGTAGTCCCACGTAGGTTACTTCTGTATGTGTACACCTTCTGGAAATTGGGCAAGAAGAATAAGGTGGCGCTTTCTTGGAGGAGCTTGGTTATGAGTTCAGGAAGAATTTGCTGCTGCACGTTGGTCCTGTGATATTTCTGCCATCACTTTAGATGCTAAAACCAGTGAGATTAAGTAGAGTTGGTCAGAAATGTTAAAAGTTTTAGATGGTGCTATAAACATTTCCTGAAAAGGTGGTGGTAAGATTTTTGAACTGAAAATGTCTTAAGATTTATTATTAACAAGTTCTGTTGTTACAGACCGCGATATGGGAGCCCGTCACCGTGCCCGTGCTCACTCGATTCAGATCATGAAGGTGGAGGAGATTGCTGCCAGCAAGTGCCGTAGACCAGCAGTCAAGCAATTCCATGTAAGTGCAGTAACGCAGCGGTGGCTGCTGGGTCCCAGACTAGCGCTGGGCTGGAAGGAGGGAGCTCCCTTGCCTGGTGCAGGTTTGCTTTGCAGGCAGAAGTGGGGAGGGAGCCAAGCTCGCAGGCGTGGATTTACCATTATGTTATGTTCTGATCACGATTTTAACGCTAGAACTGTTTGAAATAAAGTCAAACTAGAGCAAATGCATATTATGTTGCAGAAAGTTTGCCTTTTACAGGCATTTCTTTCAAAAAGAATTGCAAAATGAAGGCACCTGTTGGCTCCGGTGAAGCGTGTCTTGCCTGTGGATGTGGGGCTTCTCTCTGTGTCAGTTAGCAGTTGCACATAGCTTAGCTGCTTCTCACAGATGATCTGCTGTCGTTCATCTCTGTCCGAATTAACACAGGAACGTTCTTCTTGCAGGATTCTAAAATCAAGTTCCCTCTGCCACACAGAGTTCTGCGTCGCCAGCACAAACCACGCTTCACCACCAAGAGACCAAATACTTTCTTCTAAATACGAAAACGTGCTGCCAGCGCTGTGTTGTAATAAAGGTCGTACTTGAAGCTTTGACTCCTGGTTGTCTTTTGGAAACTTGTGGGTACCCAGGAGTCCCCTTCCTGCTCTTTGATGTTCTGCAAACTATTGGCAGCCTGTTATTTACAGCTACGATTGCTTGAAACAGGTGAATGTTTCAGGTGCTGGCTTCAATTGCCAAAACACCCCCTCTAAACTAACATTTTAATAAACAGCTTTTCAGGTCAGAGTAAGCCTGTTGTAGAGCAGCTGTAAAATCCTACATCCAGCTTGTTCCTTGGGCACGCTGAGCAAATGGAGTTGAATTTGGGAAGAAGGCAGTTTTTTGTGCATGCAGAACTCAAATTTGTCCGCTGTAAGAATAAAGAGCTCTTAACTTCAGTTAAGCTGCTTCAAGTTTTAAGCATTTGAAGCTAAAACTTTAATTCTAACCTGAACCTTTTTGAGGATGTTATACACCATTCTGAATTAGCTCACGTCTGCGTACAGAGGCACCAGCACCTCGAAATGAGAAGTGACGAAGGGCTTGGCAGACTTGTCTTTAGTGTTAGACCAATTGTTATGAGGAAAATTAATTTTATAGCCAAACCAAATCCTTGGGCTGTACCCTATGCACAATGTAATGCCACGGTAAAAACACTGCATTGCAGACACTGTGTAGTTATGGTTAATTATAACAGCTGCTTCACACCTAAAGCTGTGTTCTTGCACCTGGTGCCTATTTTAAGTTGCGGTGTGTTTTGGGCGCTTCCTGGAGAAGAGGCAGGCAGGCAGCTTGGCTGGCACACGGGTCTGGCTCGGGGTTAGAAAGCCGATGCTGCGTTTTGTCTAATGTCGGCTTAAAAACAAACGCAGGTGCCCGTAGAGTGAGGGGAAATGCCGTCCAGAGAGGACACTGGGAATGTTCTCCTTTTGGGGTAGCTGGAGAGCTGCAACTCCACCGGGAGAGGCGCTGCCCGGGGATTTCGAGGTGACCCGGCAGCGCTGCCA